GTTCAAAAAATAATATTGGGAATAAATTTTAGCGTCATTTTGAATGTTTAGCCTCGGCCCCTGAACCAGCAGGGCTCAGTGAGGCGGCCGAAGGATCACCTCACTCACCCAGTCACTGTATTATACCTTCACTTTTATCCCGAGACTCTGTGTGTGTGTGTGTGTGTGTAATCCTCTCTATTTCTCTCACACACCGATTATAATACTTTACCATAATCTTTCTCTTCTTCCCGTCTCTCTCGTTCTCATCCATTACAGCAGCCTCTCTGACATTACCTGACCACGAGGTAGTTCCTGTGGTAGTTCCTAAGACACAACTCTGTCGGTAAAACTGCGGCCACTTCCTGAGCACTGAGTTACTTCCGTGTGAGTTTGTGTTTCGGGGTCATTGACTAAATTGTGTTTAACCTGAACACGAGTGAGTAAAATTCAACACGCCGGGAAAATAATAACCAAAGCTGACGAAAAAAAAAGTAAATTAGACGCAGAAACGGGTCTTAAAATAATGGAAAGAACAACAAATTTATACTGGGTTCAGTCTTCTCACTCACAGAAGCCGCGGTGCAGAGTAAACCAAGCGGTAACCACTAGTTATCTTTGGCAAAGTTCCCCCTTAAAACACCCACCAAATATAAACCGTTTTCTTTCCCGGTAATCCCAAGGTGACGAAAAGTACTGTTAAATAATACCCACTTTAACCCACAAACTATGTAACTAAAAAACAAATAAAAAACTAATTAACATTTATTAATTACCCTCTTTCTAAACATCATTTTATTTTTATAAATATAGAAAGTAAATTAACTAAATATTTCTAGTTTATTTATATTTTTTGATTAATTTCTATAATGCTTAGGATGCTATGGGCACCTGAACACAACCAACGGTAGGGAAAGAGGGGGGGGCAGCCACTCCACGTAGAATTAAGACCCGTGTGTGGTAACATTGTACACACCCACTTTCTACTGCAATCACGCAATCACCAGACATTTCAGGCAGTGAGTACGAAGGGAAGGAGGGAGGGGAGAGAAGGGAGAGGGATCTTATAGTTGTTGCAGTAAAACATAATAACATCAATATACGTCACACAATAATATTTACACGTTAAAAAGTTAAGTCTAGCAGCTGAAGCATTGAAACAAGATAGAAATATACTACAACTGATACACACCAAATATTCTAAAATAAGACTGGAACTATAATTACTGTTGTAGTCTTTAAACCATTACGAGGGGTCTTTACGTGGTGGGGGGTCTTTACGTGGTGGGGGTCTTTACGTGGTGGGTGAGCTCCTTTACGTGGTGGGGGGTCTTTACGTGGTGGGGGTCTTACGTGGTGGGGGTCTTACGTGGTGTGTGGTGGGGGTCTTTACGTGGTGTGGGGTCTTAAGGTGTGGGGTCTTAAGGTGGTGGGGGGTCTTTACGGGAGATAGGACCCCCGCCCCCCTCTGCTGAACAAACTAATCTGGTGTTAGGAATTAAGAGTATTATTGGCGTCCCCGGAGTGAAGGAATTAACTTAAATTATACAATAAAATAAAATCTTTGAAACGTAATAAAAACTAAATACGGTTCTTGCCAAGGAATAAATATGTTTTGAATTATTTTTCCTCACTACAACAATTAAATTAGTTGTTGAAGCTCGTAAAGAAAAAATATTAAAAAATTGTACTGATTAGAAATGGCCCCTCCTTCCCCTCTTAATCTTTCCATTATAATTTTTCTCTAATTTTCATATTCTTTTCACCTCCTTTGCTCTTTTTTTTTACCCTTCTTCACGCTTTATTTTATCCCCCTTCTTAGTGTTTCCTTCTCATTCCCTTTTTTCCCTATCTTCCCCACCACATATTCACTTTCCCCCACCATTCCTCCCCCACCCACTACAATCTTCCCCAGAACGCCAATTTTCCCTCCTAATACCTCTAATAAAGTCCCTAGGGTCTGAGGAAAGGAGAGGAGAGGGTGGTGGGAGAGGGGAGGGAGGTGGGGAGACAAGAGGGGAGGGATGGGGGGGTGAGGAGAGAAGAACAGGGGAGGGGAGGGGAGGGGAAGGCGCGAACGAGCACTCAAATCATTCCCCAGCAATCACACACCCCTACCCCCTCCCCCCCCCCTCCACACACACACACCTCCGCAAGCAATACCGTCAAGTCAGTCAGTAAATTACTTCTACAGATGATGAAGATTAAACCAGGGAGTTATTTAGGTCATGTAAATTATGAAACGGGTTGTGGGGTGATGGCGGGGACGGAGGGAAAAAAAAATAAGTACAAGTTTCCCTCTTCTGGTCTGTTATTGTGTTTTCCCCCCCCGCAGGCGTCGTGGATTCAAGACGGATTTAAAGAACGAACGACCCGCCGCCGTTCCTGTAGGGTTTAGTGTGTCTCTCAATCGTATGGTTTGTTGTCACTTTTACTATTTGACATTAAAACATGGTTAACCTCACCACCTGGGCCATTCTACGCTTGATAATACTGTGTGTGTGTGGTTGTGTGTGTGTGT